AAGTAGCCCAGTTAGTCTAGAGAAAACCCAGGGACTTTCAAATGTAAAATCTCAGGTTTCTCAGACTTAAGCTCTTACCTTATTTCATGTCATTTACCTTAAGAGACCAGTCCTATTGAATGGAAATCAGTTTAAAACGGATTCAATTTAAACAATGTACTTTTTCCCTAATAGTTTTACAGGCTAGGAGATGCAGGGTATACATCACCTTTATATGTACTGCTTCTAGACACTTTGCAGAAGTGATGGCAAATTCAATGCCAACACCACCACCAAGTGTACAAGGTTAGCCTTAAATGAATTAAACGATAATCTAGGTATCATCTCTTCAATTTTATCTACAACTGTTTTTCTGCAACACCAAAAACAATTAGCCTTGATCAACAGCATCATTAAAACCTTTCATCGATAATCTATTCATTTCTATAAAGGTACCCAGCTTCTAGTTAAAGCACAGAGAATAAATCTGATTTTGTAGGTATGTGTAGTTAGCAAAACATTTTTGAAGACTCAGTAATAGAAAGAGGGTAGGAATTTCAGCACACTGTGGAGCGGACTTATGATTCATTCCCTCTTATAGGATATGCTTGTTTACAGAGCTTGAACTAGATCTGGTAAAGGTTAAAGATTCAATAAGAGCTCCTGTGACTCCTGTGACATAATGCCAACACTCGCACAACCTTCCAAAACAAAGCCGGTTTTCTAAGACAACACTGCAGTGAATCCAACAACATTTTAAATAACTGGCTACAAGTGGTTTGGGTTTTTTTTTTTGTTTTTTTTTTTATTTAAAGGTCTGTCATGGTTTAAGCTGAACCCAGGAGAAGGTCTAATAAAAGAACATTAAAGTTAGGCTTAAAAAACAAAGAACAAAAGAATATGCTCTTAGGATTGTGAAAAGAAAATCCCCTTCTCCTCACAGTTACAACACTGCACATCTGATTTCTCACTAAATGATTTTTTAAGGGAACAGACTCCTAGATGTCACCACCCCAGATCTCCTTAGCACAGCTACATCACTGACATATTTATGAGCAAAGCCCAATTCTAGCAGGTCCCCAGCTGCATGAGGTGCCATACCAAACTGCAGTCATTTAATACTGTGCCAACCCACCACCTTGTGCAGCTAGCATACATTGGTAGTATTTTAGGGAGCACAGGGGAATCCCCAAGGGCTGGAATTCTTTTGCTGGTTCAGATGCTGGGGAATTACAAACCTCCAGTGACACTGCAAATTGGTTTATTTAGCACCTTCAGTAAAATGGTACCCTAACTTCTCCACACACCAACTATGCAAACCACAGCACTGCAACATATGCACACAGGAGTAGTAAAGTTATTCTGTAAGAGCTCAGTCGGTCAACCTGTCCTAAATTTCCATGCGTTTTGGTCCTCTTACTTGAAACAAAACCAGTAAGAATAAAACATTACATGTTTTTTAAAAAGTCTTTGCTGTGAATGCAAATCCAACATACCCACCAAGATTTGAAATCAGACTGTATTTGACTAAATCATCTAAGCAGCTGTCACCATGCAAGGTGCACTAAAAGATGAGAGTAACCTGTTGCAGCTACCACAGTATCTCTACTGTACACCCATATATACTGCCAAGAATAAAAAGTATGCTGGGATTCCAGCAGCAATCATTCAAACTTTGATTCAGAAAAATCAGGGGTAAGAAGTGAGTTAAAAATTATTTCAGATAACCAAGAGGTGTCTCTGTTTATTCTACATCCCCCTTTCCCTCCTCTAAACAGCCAGAAGCCCTGCAGAGATGTACGGAAGTTACCACTGATGGACTGCTCCCTCACCAACAGCCCTTCAATTCAACTTACTGTGGTATTAACGGCAGAGGAAAGGTGCGTTATCCGAAGGCATAAGACAGGTGAAAGCCGTATCACTATCTCTGCCATTCCCAAACACTGACAAACCCCACATTCCAACATATCAAACCCTTCTACTGACCTGTCAATCTCTTCTCACCGACTGCTGTTTATTCAACTCAGGGTGGTATCTGTGAGAGTGACTGACAGTTTTCATATTTCAGCAGTGACAGAAAAGTGGGGCTAAACAACCCTGTGTGGCTGCTGCTCCACAGAAGTGTGCAGCATTAACAGACTGATTTTTCTGCCTTTCACAGTTGGCAGAAGTATCAGTATCTTACTACTTAGAAACGTAAGACTGTAGTCCAGGAATCGCATGATTCAGGATTACAATTCCAAAAGTCCTTTTCTAAAGCCCTAGCACATACAACTACACATAAAACCAGAAACAGTATTCCTTATTGCTGCATAAACTGAACCCACCAAAGCCACTGGTATTTTTAGAGGGCCAGTTTGAAGCACTGGGGCCTTGGCTTTAGGACTGTCTCAAAGACAGGTTGGCTTAGTAAAGTCCAAGGTACCAGGGATCTAGGAGGAGTGTAGACCACGTTTCCGTTAAAAAGTTTGAGTTCAACTAAAGGTACACAAAGACCACATTTGACAAAAAAAAAAAAAAAAAAAGGAAAAAAGAAAAAAAAGAAAAAACTCGCACCCACTTGTCTTTATCACGGGAGTTTCCCGTGCCTCAAACAAATCCAAGGCTGTTTTCTGCCTCTCAGTTTCTCCCCTCCTCCCTCCCGCAGCTTCCTACCAGCTGAGACTCTGCAGCTGCAGCAACAACAGCCTGTCTGTGACAGTGTAACCACCACTGCGGGCTGGTTCCTACTAATTCACTAGCTTCCTTATGTTTTAACAGAGGTAGCAAATTGTGAAGGGGCTTTCCCCCCCCCCCCTTTTTTTATTTAACTGAAAAGACGCTGATGAATATTCATTGCTAGTCCTTCACCAAGGGCGTGGGCTTTATTTAAAGGACTGGAAGGGACCTTCAAGTTAGGGTAATACGATGGGAGATTTCTGATTCAGTTCTCTGGTCCCAAAATACATCTAAAGACTACGATTTTTTTCGCAGAAAACAGACTACATGATAGTAAAAAATAAGCCTCTCTGCCAGAAGCCCCCCAGCTTCTCACACCGGTGGCTCCGCTGGCTACCGCGGCACCCACTGCAGGGGCTCGCACGAGGGCTCCCTGGTTGACAGGGTCGCCGGCGATGTATCGGGCTTTTGAGACAACAGTTCACCGCAGCGGGTTTCCTCCCTACATGTTTAAGGCCAGCACCCGGCAGGCCCCATTCTGAGCCCGGACTTAAAACACACACACCCCGCTCTGGAAGAGCGAAGAGACAAGCGAGCCCTGTCACACCTCCTGGGTCGAGCGCAGACGGTCCCCGAACAACAGCCCCCGGAAGGTCCCGCCACGGCCGGGGGGCGGCTCCGGACGCACCCGCACACACACACCCGCACCACTGGACGTGCGCACCCGCACGCACACCCACGGACAGGCGCACACGTGCGCGCACACCCCCCCTGCCCGGGGAACCGCCGGTTCCGCTCCCCCCGTCCTCGCCCCCGCGGCTGCGGGGGCCACACGGGCAGTCCCGCACTCACTTTCGTCCTGCCGTTGATTTTGTAGTTGCCCAGCTTGCCGTTGCAGTGTCGGATGAGATCGTCCATGCTGTTCATGAGGAGCCGGATGGCCTGGCAGCCCGGCTCCTTGCCCTCCACCCAGGTGATCTTGTCGCCGCGGATGTCCTTGGAGGAGTCGCTCTTCTGGCTGACGAGCTGCCCGTCGGTGAAGCGGCCGGTGTGGTGCAGCGCCCGCACCTCCTCGGCCACCAGCCCGCCCAGCTCCTTGCCGAGGAAGTCGTCCACCACGCAGATGCCGTGCTTGTTCATGCAGGGCACGATGTACTCCAGCGCCAGCCGCTGCGGCACCAGCGACTTCGTCTGCCCATTGGGGCGCAGCGCTGCCCCGCCGGGCCCTGCCTGCACGCCGCCCGGGTACAGGTTCGACTTGTCCCGGTACAGCAGCACCGCCTCCCCGGAGGGCGAAGGGGACTGGGCCGCGGCCGGGACTTCCACCTCACCAGTGGCGGCTGCGGCGGCGGCAACGTGGTTGTTGGCTAGCGGGGCGGCCTCGGCGGCGGCCTCCGACAGCGGCAACACTGCGCCCTTCCCCGCCGCAGCTCCGGCCCCCGCCCGGCTGCCGCCTCCCGCCGTGGCCCCGGCGCTGTGGGCGCGGGTCGGCGGGGGATGCCCGCCGCGGGGCTCGGCAGCGCCCCCTGCTGCGGCTGCCGCTGTGCCTCCGCCGCGGCAGATGAGCTTGTGCTTCTTCCAGTCCTGGCGCTGGTGCTCCTTGCTGCAGTAGAAAGAGCTGCGGCAGCGCCCGCACCGTAGCAGGTTCTCCATCTTCCCGCACAGCTCGCAGTACTGCCGGTCCCGCTCGCTGCTGTTACTGCCGTTACTGCCGCTGCTGCCGCCACCGCCGCCACTGCTGCTGCTCTCGCCACCGCCCTGGCCGGCGCCGCCGCCGCTGTCATTAGCCATGGCGCTGGTGGTGCCGCCGCAGCCCCGCTCCGCCGCCGAGGGGTTATGTAAGGAGGCGGGCGGGAGCGGCGCTAACGCGGGCCCCCGCCCGGCCGCGCGGGGAGGGAGCGCTCACTGCATCATGGCCGCCCGGCTCCGCCGCGGCCCCCGCCGCCCTCCGCCTCCGCCGGCCCGCGGCCTCCTTCGGGCGGCCGGGCGCGGGGTTGCCGCGGGGGCCCTCGCCGCCCTCCCTGCGCCTCTAACGCCGCTAGCGCCGCCTCATCGCCGCCCCGGCGGCGACGGCTCGGCCTGAGGGGAGAGAGCGGCGGCGGCGGGCAGCCGGCTGGCACGGTGGGGGGCCTGCTTCCGCTCCCCTCCGGCCTCTAAGCCCAGTGCGCGGGCCGGCGCGGCCGCCGCCTCTCCCCACCGCGCCTCCACCGCTGTGTCGGGCCGAGGAGGAGGTGCCACTCTCGCGGCCCGCTTTGCACGTACGCCACTTCCAGCCCGCCAGCGCTGGCGGCGCGTCAGGCGGGCGGGGCCGCGCCGCGAGGCGGGCGGGGCTGGGCCGGGCTGCACCGCACCGTGCAGAGCCGGGGAAGGCCGCGGCGTGCTGAGGGGCCGGTCTGCGGCTCCGCACCGCAGCAAACGCGGAGCCCGGCTGCGAGCACACGGACAGGCTTCAGGCTGTGACCAGGCTGCCTCTACTGGGGAGACCTCGGTTCGGCGGGAGGGCGGCCGGGCGGAAGCAGCCACCGAGCAGTGGGGCCTCCCGGGCTGCCGCGGACCCACGCCGCCAGGGACGGGGAGAAGCTTTGCTGAGGGGAGTGGGAGGTCATCGATCTCGGCTGCCTGAGACATCCCCGGCGTCCCCGCGCGAGCTGTGGGTCGCTAATCCGTGGGTGCCCTTGACCCTGTCGCCAGTGTTGAGCTGTCCCCCGGGTGAGCGCAGGGATGCGGGCCCGCTGCAGGTGAGGCACGGCACCGAAGAGCAGGAAGGCGCCGGGCTGACATGGAAGCTGGGTGTGTGGTCTGGAGCAACGGAGGGTGTCGGCGCACCCGGCCACAATGGAGGGCTAGATTTAGTCACTTCCATAGGCCCGAAAATATCCGCACCAGATGGCTGACGAAGTGGGACGAGCCCTGGTTCCCTCATAACTAACCTGGGGCTTGTGTCCCACCTAACTTGGTAATGAAGGCCAGAGTCAGGCCAGTTGAAAAAGCAAAAAGGATGAAGAAGGAGCAGGTGAGGTGGCCACTGAAACGAGGAAAGGCCAGGACTTGGAGCCAGTGCTGTGATCAACATGGCAAAGTCCCTGACAGGAAAAAGGAAGCTGGTTTTGGCGGATCAGTGCTGGTGGAGAGACAAAGGTCCTAGCGCAGTCACGTCAGCTGTCAGAAGCTGTCTGAGGATCTGGGCTCTTCTGAGGTGATACGTAATTTCCAGCCGATCCTGAAATCATGTTTTAGCTTGCTTGTGATAGATGTTAGGGAAGTGGAGTGCATTGTGCCATTTGCCGTGATGCAGAGCAATATGGTGGTCGGTGCCTTGGAGCCACGTGGTAAACCGGAGCAAGGTTCTGCCCACCCCCTTGGAAAGCCATTTGGTGAACAGACAGCAAGTGTTGGCTCCGTGGGTTGGGCTGACGAGAGGCAGCGGCTGCAGCTGGTGTGTACTGCCTGTAAGTTAAGCAAATTATGAAGTCCAAGGAGTGTCAAATACTTGATCCAGTATACACTTCTGAGGATAGAAAGGTGAAAGCAATCTTCTGGGTGGTAACCCATAGGCTGAAGCAGGGTTTTGTGTGATTCTAGATAAATCAGTTTTTAATTTGTCACTATAGAAGAAGAAGAGTAATGCTTTTGCTCCTCCCAGGCTGGTGTGAGGCTTAGGACTGTAATATACTTGTGTTACAGTGAGATGGCTTTATGTACACAGCTAAAATGGTTTGGTTCTTATCATCTCTGCATAGAATTGGATTTAAAATAAACTGACATAGCGATAGGACTTGGAGGAATGTTAGGCACTGCATGTACTATGTGAAGGATGTAAAAGGAGAAACAAAGGGTGCCAATGCTACAAATGCGTGTGATACAGGCAGAAAATGAGAAGGAAGACCAGGATGAGTTATTAGACAAAAGGAGTACTAAGAGGACAAGGTCATGAAAGCCCAAAGGATGAGATTTCAAGGTGAATGTGATCAGCAAGCTCCAAGGATGCATTAAAAAAACAAACACACACACACACACACAAAAAATTAACTGGAAAAGCTGGGAACTAAAACCCAATAAAGTTGCAGTTTAGTAATTTCTCTGTTTATTGCTCTTGGAGGAAAATACAGCAGTAGAAGCAGAAGGAGGTGAGTTAAAAACAAGTTTTAAGCCCAGAGCATGAAGTGGACAGATTTTTAATCTAAATTTAATGAGAGTTGTTCTTTAACTATAGGTAGATGAGGTATGTCAGAAATAGCTAGGCATCTCTCCAACTTGCTTTAAACTGATACAAATGCAACTGAATTCCTTGGACTTTCAGCATTGTTAAACTGGGCTAAATGAGAAGAGAGTTATTTTCACAAACTTCAGAAATGCAAACAATAACTTCCTGCCACAAAGAAACTGAAGAGTTAAAGACTTTTCGATGCATATTCCTTCAGCAAACATAGCGGAGATGAAGGTCACAGACTTGAAATTCAATAATCCAGCTATGGAACAAATAAGAAAAGCACCAAGGTACAAATATGGTGCCTGGCTAAATCCTAATGATAGTTATTAATTCATGGGCTGATTTGGCTTCAAAAGTCTTTTGTTCTTTCCCTCTCTTTCCCACATGTCATTTGGGATACAATTAATGGTCTTGGTCTCAGTTTTTACTAAGCTTTAAGTTCTGCTAATGTGCTGAGCTACTTCAGGTTGTCTTGACAGACTGTTCCCCAGTGTGGTCAACAAATACCGAGTTCAACAAAACCCATCTTCAGGTATATGAAGCATGTGCCATATTTTATGATTGGAGCACTTTGCCTGCAGCACAAAACAATTTAATGAAGGTTGTGGCCCAGCAACAAAGCTGCAGAAAAGAGACAAAGCTGCAGAAGAGTGGTGGTGGTAAGGAAACTCTGGAAGACAATGACTATTTATATTACAATATTGTCTACACATGCAAGAAATGTTTTCCAAGCATATAAAGACTCTATTCATTACCAAAGAGTTTGTTCCTTAGCATACAGCGTAAGGACAAAGCACCACAAAAAAGCGACATATGGTATACAAAGCAAAATGACCAGCATGATCGTTGCCAAAACTGAGGGGGAAGGGACTTCCTCCTCTTTCTTCTCTAGTTACTCTTCACTTGCTAACGTGGTATTTCCAAGATAGCCAGTTCCTTGTCTGTGTCAGTGAATGTTGGAAAAGGACTTGACTGGTGACTAGGTAATGATGGAACAGATTGCTTTGCAAAAGAGTGCACATGGAAAGTCTTCAAAGTAATACCAGTCACGATGAGGATGTTGTGGAATAAATTTAATGCAAGGTCATAGTTTTTTGTCACCACTTAGATATGGATCTGATCTGTTTATTAGAATTAAAAAAAAAAAAAAGGTTGGTCAATGAATAACTTTCCTGTTTTCATTAAGCAGTAATAATGGCTGCATTTATACCATGTGTTGTGTATTTCATGTACTGCAGCAGTAAGGTTGTATAAGCAACCAAAACATAATCTTTGAAGCTCCAGGAGAAGGGGGAATGCAGGATAACAAGAGTAGTTTGTTTCACAGAACAACATTAGCCTAGAAATTAAATAAAAAGTCTTATCCTCAGATAGTTTAGAACAGGAAAAAAGTCCCTGGGATTCCAAGCTCAGTTTTTCACTGCTGCCAGAAGGCCCTTGGAAGCTACACATGCTCCTGAGGTTGGTGGAAGTGTAAAGCCTCAGTCAGAGAGTTGTGTGTCCACAGCAGCACCACAAAATTCAAAACTTGGGGGCTTGTAGCATTTGCTCTCTCCCCCCCGCCCCTCCCCCCCAGACCCCACTCTACTGTGTTCTTCAGCCTGACTGCTCTTACTCTGCTTAAACCATTATTCATGATCTCAGTGACATTTTTCAAGCTTGCTTTTCATACTAGCAAGTGAACTGTAACAGGTTTGCAGCTTTTCCAAATAAAACTAGAGAACTGGTTTGTGTGAGTTGCATTCTCTGTTGAACTCACTTCCTTTCTAATCAGGACAAACTGTACAAAGTACATCCACAAGGCTATGCAAATGCTCCTTTGTTGAATGCATGCTCTTTTCCTGAGGTGCAGAAAGGGTCATTGTCTCCCAGATCATCTCCCAGATACCTCCCCTGCCACTGTAGCTGCAAAAGGAGGAAAGGGTCACCCAGTAGAGGTGATTAGGAAGATGCAGAGATTGACTGGCTCTGCTAGCGCCACCATGACAGAGCGCATGACCCAGGGAGCACATGACCCAAGGTCTTGTCAAGTCCCTCTGTGGCCAGGACAAGCTGAATCTCAGCAGTTTTCAAGATCGAGGCTTCAGGTCTCTGCTGTGCCAAGAGCTTGATACTCTCCCTGTCACAGCATGAAGTGGCACACAGCCCTCAGGACAATCAGGCTCAGAGCCCTGAAACTAATCCCCAGTACCCTGGATCTCCTCCTGTCCCACTTAGTGCTTGTTGATGCCATTCTGGAGTTGCCCTAAAAGTTTTTGCTGAAATTAAAATAATAATTTGGTGGTTTATCACTGAATATCATAATGGTGTAGTGTTTACAGAAAAAAAACCCTTTCATTATAATCTGAGATTATAAGGGTTGGGCTAAATTATAAAGAGAAGTATTCTCAATTACTTTGTGTAAACTTGTGTTTAATATTATGTTTAATATTGTGGGATTCCTCCAGGCTCTTCAACTAAAGTTGTTTTTGCTGTCCCTAAATCTGTCTGAAATTATATGCATTTGCTTCTCTGGGAATATAGCCTATTTTTATTACACCAAAAATATGGTTAGGGTTGATCCAGAGAGATTTGCACATTAAAATGTTTAACTACTTTCATGAGTATTATGTTAAGGAAAAATGAATTATGCTAGTGAAGTACAAGACAATGTCCTTTTATTCTATTTAAGTGAAAATGCTGCTACCAGATGTCCGTATCTGTAAAGCGATGGAAATGCAGCCCAGCTTAGAAAATGCTCCTAACTGACTCATTCCAGTTTTGTCCTCATTTTAAACTTTGTACCATGGAAGGTTCAAAAGCTTTTTCCACATTGTTTGTGAGGTTTCTCCAGAGGGAGTATTTCTGGCTTTGGTTACAAGAGAACTCCCTCTCTTGCTAAATATTGTCAATTATGTACATTTTTGGCCTCTAGCTTAAGCAAGCCAGGAGGCCCTCAGGGTGCTTAAAGTCCAGCTATGGACAGAAAGTTGTTTTTAAAGAACATTTTAAAAACACTATTTGGAATCCACATACTGACACAGTGATAAGCATTTTTTTGAAAAAAAAAAAAGAAAGATATTTTCATCTGTATGTACCTCAAATTTGTCTGAACCGCTCCAGAACTGCACTCGGTTTCAGTGCAGAGAAGTCTTCTAGCATGAGGACAAGAGACTCAAATATAAAGAAAGTCTCTCCAGTGCTTTGTAGGGCCGTAATCATAACATGACCTTTTCACTTTGCATCTGATATGTACTTCCTGCCCCTGTGTCATCATGATTCAGCATTGTGACATGCTGAAAGATCATCAAGGTGGAAACAATGCCGAGCAGTGTTAAGATGGTGTGGCCTGCCATGATTATTTTGCACGTACCTGATGCATTGCACATCATATTTTCTCTTTCCTGGTCTTTCAGCTGCCAGGCACGTAGTGCTCTCCTCTGTCAGTGCCTGTCCTTGTATTCAGGAAAGAGAACAGCCCTGGACCGTGGGCAAGAAGGACAGTTTACTCCGTGTTCCTTGATTTGGGAAGCTTGAGAGCACCTCAGCTTATGCATTACAATATATCCAGCTATTTAATGAGTTACAGTCTCAACTTTTTTCTTCCTCAGAACCTAGAAACTGTTACCCGGAGCTCAAGAACTGTCCCTGAAGCCATAAAGATGTATCCATTAGAAGACTGGACATTTTATCTCTGGGTGAAGTAGTTTCTTTTGCATCTCTTCAGTCGACTAGCACAATTTCTGGTATCACTAAATTCCTTTTCTCATTGAGGCAGTTTTACCAGTAAAAGAGATTGTAAGAGAACAGTGAGCTTAAAACATTTGCTGCTATGAAACAAGAAACCTGCCACAGTAATTTAAGAGAGGAAGGAAAAGGTAATAGTGGGGGAGTTTTGGAGCTGATAAAAGCCACCAGGTGTCATTCATCAGTAATACTTTTTTCTTTTTTTTTTTTGATGAGGCAATTTCTGGAGAAGAATGGGTGCAGGCTTCATTTTTGTTTGTTTTCCTAGTGAACAATGGTGGCCTCCCCTTTTCTTGAACAATAGGGGTACAATATTGCAGTTCACATTTTGTTAAACTATCAAGATAGCACATCTGTCCTGAAGAGCTCACCTTTGCCAGGCCTGGCTACAGACACACACAAGCATTGTGAGCCTGAACCCTGAAGAGCCACTGCAATCTAGGTGGACTCGGTACAGCTCAGCACCGTGTTCTGCACTCCCCGTTCCCCTTTCTGCCAGGGCAGTACCTGTGTGTTCCCATGCACCCCTCTGATGCCTATCAAGGTGCAACATCCCATTGCTCTCCTGCCATTGCCCCCCTCAGTGTCTCCCTCATCACAAGGGCTTTGTGATGCCTTTTCTTGCATTTCTGTTGTTATCTAAGTCACAGGCTTTTACTCCATACCCTTCTGTTTGGTTCTTGTGCTTTCTGCAATACTTTCTTTGGTTGTGCTGCATTTAAGTCACAGTGTTGTGTTGCTGGCCACCAGTAGGGGTGGTTCGGCTCCCTCCAGCACCATGCTCCTTAGCACCATGCTTCTCAAACCCTTTGGTGAGTCAGTTCAAGAGAATAGTTTTCTGTTGGATTAACAAGTTGGATTGGCTTACTTAGTGGTTTGATGTGGTGCAAGAGAGGGTGTGGACCAGCCGGGCCAGGAGTCAGGGAGGAAAAAGCAGGACCACCCAAGTCAGGACGGTAAGCTGACTCAGTCATGTCATGTAACTTCACCCACATTTACTTCATATTATATAACTCGACCCAATTCTACTTTCTCCCTAACTGAGAGAGAAGTCTTTCCTTTCAAATCTGTATTAAGAGAATTAGCAGATCCAAAGTGCAGGATATTCTATACCAAGCGAGGATAATGCCTACCATCACCTGATTCTTGCATTTAAGGATATGACGAAAGGAGGTTTAGTTTATTGACTCTGAACAACATGCAAGGGACTCACATTTGTAAGTTGTTGGTTTTTTTTCTTTTCAGTTTTTAGAATTGAAAAGGTTCTGTCTGTTGGTCAAAATAGTTCTTAAGATTTTAGAAGTGAACAAATGTCTTACTAAAAATTGTGGTATCGCTGCACACTCATTATAATGGTGTTCTGTGTCTTGTTGTTTCCTCCACTAACAAGTACCTCTCTCTGTGCAAATACTCTAATACCACAGTAAAATATTTCAGCATCTTATAAAGCACTTCCCAAGCAACTTCTACCGAGGACAGATATTTACTGAACCAGGAATGCTAGCAGTGAATATATAATAATTTAAATTCCTGTATTAGTATGACTGAATTGTGTGTTCCACCTGCATGATCTGAACTGACACTATTGTTTTCATGTACTTTGATGGATATTCAGATGGCACAACACTGTTAATGAATCCAGTAAAACATAATGCTGGAATTGTACGCTGGAGAGCTTTCACAAAACACTACCTAAATATTAGGTCCTGGAAAATTAAACTTACCAGAAGTTCATGCAAGCACAAAGCTAAATACGAATTATTAACATCTTTGGTGTGTTCTTTGAGTGATAGTACATGCTACAGAGCTGTAATTAGGGCTGGGTTGCGTGAGTCTTGCTATCATGCTGCATCAATTTGTCACTGTTAGAACTGCTACCCCTGAACCTGTTCCTTGCTCACCCAGCCGGCTAATTATTGACCTAGAGATAAAGTGGCATTTATTAGTACTAGAAGAAATTGCCTTTCATTTTTATGCAGAAGCAAAAAACAGGTCAGCAAGCAATTTACACATTCTTCATCCACCCACAGTGCAATGGACAATTATAATGCTTATCTTGTCAGGAGGTGGATTTCACTTTTTTCCCTTACTGTTTCATTAGGCTTACATTTTCTCCCTGGCATTATTCTCTATCTTTTAGTTGTTATTGGTTGGTTGTGTCTTTTTTGTTGCTGTTGGTTGGTTTGTTGGTTTTGGGGGGGGGAGGGTCGGGTCTAATCTCGGACTGTGTCTAGTGCTAGGATCATGTTCAGGAGTTTTCATTAAAAAAACAGATTCCTGAAAGGGTTCCTCAGATTACAGTTTCCTCACTGTGTTATAGAGTTTGAACTGGAGGAGGGGATAGTCAGAGAACAGATGACTCTGTCCTCACCTATTTACCAAATGGTACACGTTGTTGAAATTTGGATGGGAGGCGATGCTCCTGCCTTGTGCAAACATACCCTCCAATAAAAGCCATGTGCTGTGTGTAAAAGTAGTGAAGTGCTTGCTGCTTTGCTTTTCGTTTTCTTTTTTTTCTTTTTTTTGAACAGCAACTTATCAATGTGCGAGGCCAAACATGGCTGCTCATATCCACACAAAGGCTCGTGTTTGTGAATATGCCTATTCTGCGTACCCAGCCTGGCTCCTACCTTATTTTCGCTAGGATGACCATTCCTCCTCTATGTTAACATATATTCTGTATTTAATCTGTGACATGTGTAAAAGAAATGCTGAATCGTATCTTTGTGGAGCAACACTCAGCAGTGCATTTGTTAGTGGAACTTTATTTTGAATTTAAAAATACCAGCTTCAAGAGACTGGATCTTTTAAGAAAAAGAAAAACCAGCACAAAGCTGAAAAACAGTTCTCTCTCTGTTATCTCAAAATAGCACTGAATTGCAGATCTAGGATAAAAATCAATTGAGAACGTGTGCTCACGTTCGAGAATCTGCCTCAAGCCTCTGATTTTGCATTTGTAGTCCAGATATGGATGAGGCATGTTGGGAAGAAAACTTCTTCAAAGCTTCATAAATGTCAGTGTATAACATCAAATAGTTGCCTGGTGCACAATGTATTTTACTGCAAAGGTTTACTGAATGCTAGCCAAAGCTATGAAGCAAGGTGCAGGCTCGTTTCCCTTTGCAAGCCTTCAAAGCAGCTAGATGGGAGCCCTTCCAGAAAGCTCTCTGGAAACTTTCGTCTAGCCTCAGCGCTCTATAAATAGAGGAGGTCTTCATTCCCGAGGAGGTTTTGCAATGCTGTTCTGCAGGGGAATGCCGAGCTCTAATGGAAGCGGAAGGAGGGTTATGGAGTGTCATGGTGGGACTGGGAAGGGGAATGGGATCTCCTTGAATGTGAGATAAGGTCTGCAGCAGATTGAGAGGAGAATAATTAAGATGAAATGCTCTTCCTGAAAACGTGTGTGCAAGGAGAAATTCCCTTAGATCCTACACTGAAAATACTGCCAGGAGAGTGGAAAATGCAGCCACACTGACTGTCAACTGAAATGACAAAGAAATATATATTATTTCCTCCAGCAATCGAGAAACACACCTGAAGAGATCATTCACCCTCCAGAATGAATGGAGAAATAGTTTCACTGGGATCAGTGAAAACAGCAGTAAATGCTGCTAGAATTACTGTAGTTTACCTCATAGAAATTTAATTGCCCTAATGGACTGTGATGAGTGACATGATATACGATGCAGTAATCACGAACATAACCCTGGAGTAAGTCTCAAGAGCAACACACTTGGAATTTTGTTCCTAAAAAAATGTGCAAATATAGAAGAAAACCTGCTGACTGCTACAGAAGCCAGAAAAATCTGTCCTAACATACGTCCTTTGATTGTGTCAGCAGATTAAAAAGCATCGTCTTCCAAAATGTAGCTACCGTGTATTTCTCAAGATTTACCTACAGTGTAAAGGTGGGGCAAAAATTTTGTTGGGGTCAAGCTTCATGCATTGTTTTCAAACAAAATTACTTTTAAAATGGGACTGAAAAAGGAAATTTCACTCTGATTTCTGATAGCTCGGCCTCATGGTAATATCACAGTCTTGGTTACTGTACACTTGAAAAAGGAATGCTCCATTGCCGGTTTGATTATTTTGTGGGGAAAAAAATCACAAAATATAAAAAAGAGGCTTCATTCTGACTAACCACAGTAATTTGGAGCCAACCAAGCTAATTTGGGAGACAACATTCTGTCTGCAGAAGAATGAAAAATGAAAGCAAACCATGTTCCTGCTCACAGACTGCATATTGAACACACTGAGCTATAGATAAGTTACCATTTGATCTCAAAGACCTTTGATATACAGTCTTTAAATGTTTTTATTCCTGCCAGCAGAGTTTCAGACTTAAGAGCGTTCTTTATTTTGCTGATACAAAAAGAACACGGAAATGATAATAGAGGAACACTTTGCCATTGCCCTAAGAGATTGTCATCCCTCTGCCTTTGTTACAGTGTTATCCAGATACAATTTCTTTAAAGGTGAAGGAGATGTGCTTTCTGTGCCAGAACAGTACTTACTTCTTTCAGAATGCTGAGGTTTTATGGTAGAGTTTTAAAATAAGAACAATCTGATCTTAGATGGGCTAGAACATATGATACAATGTGCTAATTATAAGGTAAATTACAAGGAAATAAAAACAAAAACAAAAACATAAGTGATGACGAATTCCTGGCTTTTAAGTACACCATGACAAACCATGTACAGATGGGAAGGGAATTCAAACAGTGGCATGCATTAGCTCCCAAGCACTTCCCTTTGCTTTTTGATTCCAGTGAGCAAAATGATCCTAGACTATCCTAGCCGGCTTCAATTGAATTGTCTACTGCTGCAATCTCAAAGGCCAGAGTGGAAAGAGTTTTCTTCATGTAAACAGGTGTAAAGGAAAAGAGCAGTCACTCCGATGTTGGTGTAATCCCTCTGAGCAGCTTCACAGAAACCTTAAGGCTGCACTGAAGAGGAGCACACATAGCTGACATGTGTACAGTGGTTTTCAGAATACTTTCTTAATACTTTGACAATTACTGAAATACATGGTTCATAAATTGGTCTGGCTGCGTGCTGTGTTGGTGTGAGAATGTCTGAGAAAGAAGGGAGAGGCCAGAACTTGTTTCCAGGTGGTTTATTGACTGTTAAACTCTTCCAGCCAGATAAAAGCAGCAGCAAATAACCTGATCCATGTGTTACAACACTGCACAGTCTCACCTTCTCCCTCCCTGCATCGTATTTCCTATCTAGGTCACTGCATTGTGAGGCTGTTGGTTTAACAGATAATGCTTCCACATGTTGACCCAGACGCCGTGAAGACAAGCACATTTTCAGGCTATTCATGCAAATTACCAGTGTCCTGAGCCTGCTCCTGGCACGTACTTTACCTTCCTCCTTGCTGGTTTGGTGCTTGGTATGGTTTGCCCAGCCTTATGGCTGGAATGGGCTATACCAACAGCTTTGTAGATAAAGTCATCTTGCCATCAGCCTGTCAAACATAAATTCCATCACTACCTTGCAACTGCTATATAATTAAATGTTCTCCTGCTAGGCATACTCTGGTTTAATGGGTTTTATGAGTCATGGCAGCAAAAGGAAAGGAGAGTCCCCCAAAACAAGAATGGGCACAAACACCCCCTTGATAATCATCATATTTAGACAGACTAAGGTTCTTGCTTGTCCAGAGAACTGAACACTAGGTCTCCTCAGATCCCTTGTCAGAGTATCACACACTGATGCTCACTAAGGTACCTGGAGAAAGCGATTTTGCAGTTTGGAATTACTTGAAGTAGTACAGACACTTGCAAGGAAGTGGTTTGCTTTGAGTCTGTGGCATATTAGTTTGACAGTGTTTGAGAAGGAAGGAAGAGGTGAGAACTTGCAAATTCTGTGCGCTCATAAGCTCAACCCCAAATGCATCTACCCCACAGGATGTGTATGACATGAATGAAGAGAGCATGGCCCTCTCCTTTAGATTGCCAAGGTCCAGTCAAGATCCCATAGTTTAAAGCGGCACCGAAACAATCTCTTCCTAGCTGCAAGCAATTAGGTGCATGAAAATCACTGGTGCAAGAAGGCAGCTCAGTGGCTTGGAGTTCCTCTGACCAGACTCACCCTCTTGGTGTGGCTTGTGCCGAACACAACAAGCTATGGAAAGTAAATGTCAGCTGCATTAGCTTCTAGGCCATATCACCACAAAGGTGTGTAAGCCAATCTTTAAATTCCAGGTCTGTCATCTGAAGAGATTACAGCTCACCCAGCACTCAGGCACACACACTCCCTGCCAGCTTTCCTTGACCTATTTACAAGCAATGAACTAGATACAGGCAGACCTTGTGCTTCAACTGCTTGAGTTAGTGCTGCTCACTTTGACTCAAGAGGGCCAAGGGAAGCATGTACAAGCAGTTTTGCTGACAAACCTGGGAGGGTGGTCATGGTTAGCAGGTAATGAGCCAGGGAGGGGTAGACTGGGACATAAACCCTTCTACTACAGCTGGAAGACGACTTGGGTCTCCAGCCTGGTTGTGGCCATATGGAACAGAATACAGGCTATGACTGCTGAAGCAGGACTTTGAGAAAGGCTGTTCCTTCCCTTCTTCTCCCCATGCCATCCTAGGGGGTGTTGCAGCTGCCCCAGCAGCCTGTCTGCTCCTCCTGTGGCTGCCCTTCTCTCTCAGGACTGAGCACTATGTCTTCATGCAGAGGCTGTCCAAACCATGCTGAGCTGACTCGTGTCCCATGCTGGCAGCAGCACACAGCACAAACGACAGGGCTCTGTGCAGTCCCTCAGATGGGACAAGGATCGGCCTCTGCTGCAGCCCCTCTGCTGTACCGTTAACTTAAGCTGTGCATCTATCTGGGTCCCATTGCAAATACCAAATTAAACCGTTAATACCCCTGAGCAGGGATGGAGGGTTAAATCAGATGAAAGATTAGAGTACCTGAGCAGGATATATGCTTAACTAAGGGCCCTGAGTCTAAAACTGAGATCCCAAATCCCCCCAGTCAGCTGGCTACACCCTGTTGGTCCTTGGCACCTGCCTGCTCAAGACCAGGACCCCAGCCTCATGTGGTGGGCATCCTAACCCACCAGCAGGAGAAGAGTGGCATGTGAAGTACTGTGCAAACCTGAGGCAGGTGCCTGACCTGCAGAAAGCTGTGGGATTCACACACAGCCTGCTCCTCCTGACACAGCCAGTCCTCAGGCATTTTTTGAGGTAGCCACCAAAGTATCTGCTTGAGGTGCTGTCAGAAGAGCAATGCCTGTGCAAGCAAGAAACAGTCCATACATGAGAAGCATGGGAGTTCTGGCATACAGCACCTTCAGTTTGTACATTCAGGAAAACTGAAAAAAAAAACCCAAAACCAGTAAATAAAACTGTCTGGTTGTTCTGGCTCAGGTGACTGGACACTGAGACTAGGTAGTGTGAGTTAGTATACATTAATTTCCATTTCTTTATCTTTTATAAGCTGTGAAGTTCATGCTCATATGACTTCCTCAATCTTCACAGGCTTCAGCTCTGATCTCTTTTTAAGCCTTGATATATCCATTCTATTTTTAGTCTTGCAGACTATTTTTGGATAATATCTACATGCTGTAGTCTTTTTTTAGCTAGCCTGACAGCCAAAATTGTGCCAGACTCTCCTTCTTTCATACCTTGATTGCTGCAACATCCTTTCTCTGGTTGTGAGATGCATACACGTTTGTCCTGCTGTTATTTATTCCCAGGGCTGCTGCAAAACTTGTTCTCTTTGCTTGCTGTTTTGTCAGCCCTTTCCACTGACCTTATCTCAGCAGAAGTACTCAATTTATACAAGCCCATTTATATTGTGGGTGATGTATTTACTCTATATGTGCAGATGGACTTATCTGCACACGCACAGAGAGTGAAGTAATTTTGCTGCGCCCCAGGTTACTGCAGGAAGGAGTGCAGCCAGAGGTGTCCTGCTGCTGGGACACCACCAAGTGCAACATGCCCCTCGGGGCTCGCTGTGGATGAGCTGCAGGCCATTGAATCACTGTCAGCGGCTGTTTATTTCCATCATCACTTTTTCTGATGTCCCAAGGCCCCATTGCTGTCGCATCAAGGATATGAGCCACTCCCATGATGGGCAATAGCACAAGGAGCCCTGCGGAAAGGTGAATGCAAGATGCCAGAATAGCCCTGCCATCCCAGAGCAAATTCCTCCTGCCCACAGCCTAATTGCTGTGAGCTCCAAGTTGCCTCAAGAAACTGGTTGACAAAGAGAGGATCTAGCCAAAGGACCTGATTTTCATTAGTATAATCTGTGATGGGCCACTCAGAAGCAATCTGCAGTCAGGTAGCTCAGAGGCCATTCTTCCCTGGTAAATCACCTGCTAGGATCCTACATAGACTCCTACTTCTTCACCAGCTCTCCTGCCTTTCTGAGATGTTCTGTGAGTTATCTGGGGGCTTATTTTAAGGAAAAGGATGGCACTGATCTGCAGTCTTCTAAGGCACATACTGTACATTTGGAAATACTCTAAAGCTGCTCTCAGCAAGCACAGATTGAGTTTTCTGATTTTAAACCATCAAACACAGCTGCTTGTCTTTGCTTTCAAAGCCTTCTGAGCCTATCTTCATATTTTTCCATGGCAAAACACAACGTGAAATCCCACCTTCAAGGAGGTGCCCCATACTTGGGTTTTATCCCTGCAATTTTGTGCTGTCTATCACACTGCCTTTAACTTTCAGGAGATGCTCCCAGTGATGATCCAGTTCCCAAAAGTTCCTTAGACCTGTCCACAGTCAAACTGACAATGGCAAGGCTGCTGGTGCTCCACTGCCCCTTGGGCTGGCCAGGCAGTGATACCACAGTGCTACTGCATTTCTAAATGGGCATGATATTAAGTGGTATCACATATAGAAGACTGCTCAATTTCTCTTCATACTGCAAAAAAGATTAGCTAGCACTTTAGAAATAGACAAAAATAGACATATAGGCTCTGGGTTCATGCAGATAGTCATACAGAGAGCTTGGGAAACAAAGATCCCAAGCATGATAGATATAATGAAATAAAGTATTCTAGATTTTTTGGTGAATTCTGTTCTCTTACTGTTGCGCAGAATTTCCCTTGCAGGCGAATCTAGGACATCAATCTGCTTTATTTTAAGACAGTAGTTTCTTCTCCCCCCCACCCCCCCATATTCTAATGTTAGTCTTTTGCAAAATATAAAAGTTTAGACATTTTAGCTTGTCTGTGGAGACAAACTAAAATAGAAAATGGTAACGTTATCAAAATGCAGAAATAATCATCCCCACCTGTTGTGCAGATAGCATAAAGACATTTTATAACAGAATAGCAAATCCCAAATGAGAACTGGAAGAAATTTAGTAGTATAAGTCACCTCTCTATCATCCAAGGTAAGGCTTTTGCCAGTATAAACTGGTTTGGTTACAAAACATCACAGTTCTTAGTGCAATTATTATACTAGGAAAACTAGTAGATCCAGACTGCCTACAAAAACATGACTGCAGCAGCCACCAATATCCTGAGGACTTTTTATGCCAAAGTCAGACCAGTTGCAACTCCTGATTTCATTGAAAGTTATTCCAAGAATGACTTTGTCCCACTGGACTGGATTCCCTTTCATGACAAGAGCACAAAGTGCACCTCTATAAAGTCACACATTCCAGAAAATAGGTAAAAAGTAATTTACTTTCTTTCAATGGTTGGGGAGGGACTGTGGTGTGAAAATGAGCCATTTCTGTATTGCTGCAGGAATTCTGCCACTCCAGTAAGTATCCAGCCTCCCACCAGCATGCTGCCCTCTTTATTTTGGAGGCTTGTGACCTTTATGCAGCTCCAGGTGGCCTCTTTTTCCCTCCTAGACAGCACAGCTAGGCCTCAGAGTCAACACAACAGTTAACTAGAACTGCTTTTAGCTTGATAAATATATCTGTGTGAAGGCATTGTGGGGCATGTGTGAATCCAAGTGGGGCCAAGTTGCAGGCTGGGGCAGCCACTTGTTGGGCAGGAGGAACTTGCTCCCTCCCAGCATGTAAGCAGTGGAAACTTGCAGCACATAGGGCATGGCAATGTTAATCCCTCTCAGCTACACCACTTTCCAGTCCCACGCTTTGGTTTCCAGCAGCTCTCAGGCAGCCTGGTGAGGAGCACGTTAGGTTACTTGCGAATGGACATCTTGGGGACATCCTGGGCACCTGGCCCCACACTCAGCCTGGGTTCTTACCACTTTGTGAGGCTTTTCTGAGCTCTCCTTCTATCTGTTCTGCTGTGTTGCAGCTTTCCTAAGCCTGACAGAGAAATAAAAGCACCATCTTCCTTTCATCAGGATGAACAGAGCTGCTTCTGGGCCTTGTGGCAGCAAGACACAGGGAATGCTGGCGTGAGTCAAGTTTGGCTTTCCCCATTGGCAAAGTAAGCAGCTGAAATGGTGGTGGCTTTGCTACATATTTTAGCTACATCAGAGCTTGGGAAGCTGAAATGGGAGGGTACAAACTAGTGTCCCTGCTCTAACCTCTGCTATTTCCCCTCCTGCAATGGTAGTAGGACAGCATACCGAACTCTTCAGGGTCTTCTGCCAGCTCCCTGTTCTATCTTGGCCATTTCATCTTCTTGTGAATGCCGTGAACCAGTCCCACTCCTGGCTATTTATCCTTGGAGAGGCAAAAGTCAGCTTTGCTGGTTCAGTGGGCAGCTCAGAGAGACACAATCAGGTGCCCTGAAGTGCAGCATAGCCAGCACCAAGCACCAGGCTTGAGCTTGGCATGTCTTGGTACCTTCACTTATGATTAATGCCAACCTCTTTAACTTCACACTGCAGCAGCCTAGGAAAGTGCGTATAGTCAGTGACTGGTCCTTTTTAGAGGTGCTGTTCCATTGCTAGGCTGTGTGGAGCTCTGCAGGATCAATATTGAGGAGAGCCCGCTTCACAGGCTGGCTTCTGTGGTCAGCTCAGACCTGACTTTGCATTGAACATGACTCAGAGTGTCCCCTTCACTGCACTGTGTAGCACTGTGTAGGCACATGCATCTGCAAAGCAGGTGCAAATCACTGTTGTTCATATGTGGGGTGGGAATGACCTTGCTCAGGTATCAGGCTCTGTCTCCTGGGGTGCTTTACCTCCATGGAGAACCAAGCCTTGGGCTTCTTTCCACTCCCCTACTTGGGTGAGGAGTTTGTTTTACTGTGTCAGGTTAGGTTTACCCAACTTCACTGGGTTAGGAGTTGCTTCCCATGCAGCTCAGCTGTTCCATCTCAGCAGTAGCTGCCTCCAGGGGAAGGGGAGAGTGGGCAGTGAAGCACGGACACCCTACAGCTGTAGGACTCTACCTGTGTGGATGAGTTAACTGCCTTTGCCCACTTCTGCAAACTACTGCAAGGTTTATGCACTTCAGTATCTGCCCTGTATGCCTATCACTTACTTATTAAAAGCCTGATTGTTGTTCCCCTTCATCTGTTGCACCCAACTGCAGTTTATCCTAATTTGGATTTGGAAAAACCTTGTCACCCAGATTACGTTAGCAGAAGGTGAAAGTAAGCAAGGAGGAAACAAGGGCAACTGCATATATTCCATGTGGGTAGATTACTTGTTCCTTTCTTGTGGAACAACTGTGGATGCTTTTCTTACAGAAAAAAAAAAACTAAAAAACACCCCACCCCCCCAGACCCCCACAAAGCACGCACAGAACCCCCAAACAAGCAATAAACAATCAACAATCAAACCAAACCAACAAAAAGCCCCCAACCAAAACACCAAACAACCCCCAGACTTCTGACTAACACCAGGCATGCCCAGCTGTATGCACGTAGCTGAGTGATGCCCCCACAGAGCAGGGCACATTCCATTTACTTGGCTCTTTGGGATTAACTGTCCCTTTCATCAAATTGGCTTGGACTACTGTTGTTGTTGATCATGCAATGCAAATCTTCTGAGAAAAACTCCTGGGCTACTGATTACAAAAGATAGTCATTTCGACAACCATCACGTGACAAAATCCAACCCCTCTATGTCGTAGGCAGTTGTTGCCATAGATAGGAACTGTTTCTTGATTACAGGCAGATATAAATATATGCATCCTTTATACTAAGCGATGTTGAATATCTAGTATAGCAAGATGAAAACCATTTATTCCACTTTGGGAAAAGAGCTCTGCCAGAACATGGGAGGATGTGCATTATCTAACATCCTACCTAACACGTGGCAGCTAGGAGCAACAAGCAGGAGGAGAATTACAATGCTTCTGCGTGTGAAACACTATGACTGAAAAGCAGTAGGGTGTAGATTTACCCCCCACCTCATTCTAAATGAAGCACCAGTGTCAGGACCACAGTTGTCCAGGGTGCTCCCCAGAGACACGGGTCAGATTGTAGGAGGGATAAATGGCTTTGTGCAGACACCTCCCTGTCTCTCCAGCACAGGAGACAGAGCTACACTCCTCACCTGGGAGGAGCCCAGCTGCAGTGAGGGAGCAGCGTGGCAGAAACACTGCCTGAAGGGAAGATACTGGTGGTTGTTTCGGGCCACAGTTAAGGAAGGGGGAATCCTAAATGACTGGCTCGTGATTCCTCAGTTGCGGGGGACAGCCACAGCCAGCAGCAGTCAGCACATACAGCAGATCCTGTTATCTCAAGCCCAGAGGTGTGCTTGCGAGGAAGGTTGTGCCGGGACAGTCCCTATGAGATAAGAACTTCCTGTGATGCCAACTCTGAAGCTACACTGATTTACACTAGGATGAAAATAGCCCTTGGAGGTTTTACACTAGTGAAAGGTCAGCCAAACTAGGGCATCAGGGCCAACATATATGGGAGCAGACAAAATAGCAGCTTTTCTCCCTATGTGCTGGAGCTCTGCACTAAAGATAGACTCCTGAGCTATTTATTGGGACAATTGTGTGTCCCCTCTGCCTAGGAACAGGTTTAACTCTGAATGATGTCACCATTAGAATAGGTATTGGACAGGCCAAGACTGTATTGTGCTCACAGAGAATGTAAAATATCCCCTGCCTTCCATAAGCTTGCTCACAGCGTGTTCCCTGTTAACACTTTCTATGTAAACTGGCCAGATCTCCTCAAATCCCATGGGACCCCTCAGTGTCAGCAGAGTTTACACCCACGTGAGCTGCACAGATGGACAAGCTCAGTGCACCTCCTTGATGCCAATGTGCGCAAGGGAAAAGTCAGCTTTTACTTTCCCAACAGACGTCGCTTTCCCAGGGGATGGACACCCTGCAGGTACCCACTCCTTGCCCCTGGCCACAGAAAGCCATTGCTAGCGAAGAGGAGGGAGAGCAGAGAGGAGGCGGCTTCAAGGAGGATTTGGA